ACACACACACACACACACACACACACACACACACACACACACACACACACACACACACACACACACACACACACACACACACACACATTAATAGCAATTAAACATTAGTTGTTTCAGTTTCTCACAGTTCATACCGGTTTTTATGTTATAATTACCTGCATCATATCTATCTATTCATTTATTTACATATTTGTGTACAATGTGTCCTTTATGTCCATTTTTTAACTATGAAAGTTACTAACTATAGGTTATTTCTCAGTTTCCTGTAAGGATGGAGTGACAGGAGAGATCAGCATGTTGCATAGTTTGAATAGGATGTTATTTATGCTCAAGACGAAATGATGATGCAGCTTATCTACAAAGACATCAAAATGTTTCCGATCATTCAAGAGGAATTTCTTTTCCTTTTTTTGCCTGCCAAGATGACTACACATTTAAACAAAACACACACTCAACCACACACACACAGACGCACACATGCACGCACGCACACATGCACACACACACACACACACACACACACACACACACACACACACACACACACACACACACACACACACACACACACACACACAAAACACACAAACTTTTAATTTAACAATTGTTTAATATAGTATTTTTACATATCACTGTAAAGCAGGGGTGTCAAACTCAGTTCCTGGAGGGCATCAACCCTGCAAGTTTTTAGTTTCAACCCTGCTTCAACACATTTACCCGAGAGTTTCAAACAAACCTGAATAACTCAATTAGTTTGATCAGGTGTGTTTAATTAGGATTGGAACTGAACATTGCAGAGCTGCAGCCCTCCAGGAACTAAGTTTGACACCTGTGCTGTAAGGGAAATGTTTGACATAATTTTTTTTTTATTAAATTTACAGAGAAAATAAGTGCAGTGCAAATGTCTAGTTACTTGTATTTAAATATTTTAGGTTTTTCCTAGTTCATAATGAGTAGGAGGTGGTAGAACAAGTGCTTATGCTGAGGATGATCTATTGTAATTTGTAGCTAACTGTAATTCCCACTCCTGTCCAGCTGATGGCTATTGCCCTTGTTTTGTCTCCTCTTTGTCACGGCTGCATACAGTTGCAAAATATCACAGCAGCTGAGTGTGAGAAGTTACTTTAAACGGCCAAATAGTTGTGATATTAATAATAAAGGTGAAAAAAGAGGAAGTAATGCAGTGGACGATGAAGAACAAACAGACAAAAATTAGATCCAACCAAGCGGCAGCAAGGAGGTCAGGTTTATTGTTTTTATATTGATGTTCTTGTTCACTGCAAAATAATTTATTCATTTTTAGTATTATTTGTTTCTTGCAATCAATAAACATTTATTATTATTTATGTTGTCCTTTGTTTGATTATTTTTGTTATAGGATATGTATGCTGTTTGCATTTTATTCAAAGGTCAAATGCAGTGCCTACACTTTGTGTTTACATTATAGCCTGCATTTGCTGTTATATCAACTATAATGGTTGTAATACCATCTATCAAGTACCAATGTAATGCCAAAAGGTTTTATATGAAGGTATATAAAGACTGAGTCGCGCCAGCTCCGGGCCGCAGCGCACATTACTCGCGGGCCGATTCTGGCTCGGATGCGGCATCGTCGGCTCAATTACGGCTGCCGCATCTGGCCCGATTGACTTGGGCCGGAATTGGGCAGTGAGTTCACAGGCATCTGGCCCGAGTACGGCAGCTGGAGTCAGGCCGAGGGGTAAGTCTCCGGCAGGCGAGAATCTAGCCGGAACTGGCCCGAGTATATTTTGCTATCTGGGGTGCGTTGGAGTGCGTTGTGAGCACTACCGGATTCAGAGGGGTGCAGCCGCGCTGCTGGTGCAGAAGGAGAGTGTGCTGTAGTATTTTTTCCCTGTGAAATGAGTGGTTGCAGGATTGGGAAATCCCACATTCAGATAATCCAGAAAAAATTCTGATCACAGCGTTGGGAGAAACATTTCCTAACTACAAACGCTGGCTGAAGTGGCGCTAGTAAATCTGGTCTTTCGTCATGAGAACTCGACTTTCCGAGGGACAGACACAGAATTTAATGACAACTGCCTCTGCATCAGTCTACCTTGATGCATTTGATTACGCACATGCAAGCACCCAGTTAGGTCGACGCAGGAGAAAGATATGAGTTAAGGCAGATAGGAGTTTTTGTACATTTGTAAAATAAATAAATGAATAATTTTGCCTATATGCTCGTTGTGCAAGTTCATTACTAAAATATGAATGAAAAAGCAATCAGAAAGTCTGCAAATTAAATAACGATCAATATTAGGTTATGACGGAAATTTTACAACTCTCTCCGTCAAAATGACAGAAAATGAGAAAGTCTAACGCGACCTCTGCTTCATACCTAATATGGTAAATAAGATTATCTATCTTTCTGTCTGTTTTTGTCTGTCTGTCTGTCTGTCTGTCTGTCTGTCTGTCTGTCTGTCTGTCTGTCTGTCTGTCTGTCTGTCTGTCTGTCTGTCTGTCTGTCTGTCTGTCTATCTATCTATCTATCTATCTATCTATCTATCTATCTATCTATCTATCTATCTATCTATCTATCTATCTATCTATCTATCTATCTATCTATCTATCTATCTATCTATCTATCATATTATTGCAAAAAAAGAAAATCATGAAAAAGTAGGGGGTCAGAGTGAAAATATACATTCTTTATCTAAACTATTTCCTCGCTATGTTTTTGTTTTGTACGTTTGTTTTTTATATGTTAGACTAGTCATTACATAGTTTTATGTTATAAACAATTTTATAGTTTTTGTGCCCTCAGTCTGTCAGTCAGAAAATCACTCTGAAAAATCACTTCCACATTGTTTTATAACCAAAGAAAGAAATCCTGACTAACATTATAAGTAAACAAAAATACAAAACTCCTTTAAATATTTTAAACAAACACTATTATTTTAGCATTATTCTTCAATATCGCTTCTATGGCTGAAAAGTGTTCCTCACAAACTTACCTCACAGTCCAGTTTAATATGTTTGGCAAAAGTTGTGTGAATTTCAGTAAGGGAACAGCTGAGACGTCCATTGGAAGTGTCAATCAGATCCTGTAGGCTATACATGTCATCATTCTCCACAAAGTGCTGCCGGTCTTGAAGCTGTGAAATTACAAATACAGTGCACATCTGTTATTTTAAATACCAAGATTTTTGCCCTAATACAATCTGAATGTAGGATTTAACAATTTATATAAACATGACTCTAGAAACACCTCAGGAGAGGGAAGCAGATCCACACCTACATTGTCTACACTGAAAGTCCAGTGACCTGGACTGGGGATGTTGTCAAACGATGGAAGTAATACTTTGATGATCTACTCAATCAAACTGACATGTCTTTCATTGAGGAAGCAGAGACTGGAGATGCAGGGATTAACTCATCCATTACCCTAGCTGAAATCACTGTTGTAGTTTGCAAGCTCTGCAATGGCAAAGCAGCGGGAGTGAAGCACAGCTGTGTCGTCATTGTGCAGTAGTGTGTTGAAATCCAAGAACTAACTGAGAATAACTGATGTTGTGGAATGATGTTTTTTTCAATAAGCTTTTCTTTGTGAAGTAAACTATAATAGTTCTCAATACCAATTATTGCAAAACTAAGGCATTTCAAATAATAAGCAAATGGCATTTGGCCAATTTAAGTATTTAAATAAAAAAAAAATTAAAATAAACTTTTGTAAATTAGAGTTGTATCAGTTAATGAAACATTTAAATTACGTCATTATTAAAATTATGTTGTGCAAAATAAAACTGTTTTGTAAAACATTTGTATTTATTATGAAAGATTCTGACGGACACAGCTGCACGTATTTTCTATGAATTTAATGGATTTTATTTTAGCAATTTATTTAGATAAAACCTCTTTTGAAAATTTATCATGAT